GTATTTAGGGATAGGGGAGACAATAATTCACAATAAAAAACCTCATTAAAGACTAAATCCTGTTTGTTACGACTGGTCTTATTTATCTGTTCACAATAAAAGCCCCAGACATTTAATATTGGCTGTGAATTGTAGCCTCTGCAGACCATTGACATGCACTAAAACCTACAGAACTACAGGAGAGGGAACCCCTCACTCAGAAAGTAGAATAGGACCTCTTTAAAGGAGACACAATACCTGACACAGTTCAAATGCTTAAACAAATGCTCCTAAAGTTAGAAAAACGATTCCCTGAATATTGTGTTTTTTTGTTAGACTGAAACTTATATGAACGTTCCTTTAAAAACTAAAGTTAAATTAAACGAGGTAGACAAAAGAGAGACAGGAAAAGTGTCTGCACTGCACCTAAAGAATGAGACCAGAATTCACTGAGAATAAAAGTAATGTAAACGATAAAATAAAACGTAATGACATTTCTTAATAAACCAGAATGGTGTTCATGAAGAGGAGAGAGAGAAACCTGCAGCACGGTGAGGACGAATTGAACCGCCTCGTCAGCAGAAAACACTTTGAACAGACCGTCACAGGCCAGGAGGATAAACCTGCAGAGAGAGGACGGACATCAGCTGACCAGTGAGGAACCTATGGGAGGACATCAGCTGACCAGTGAGGAACCTATGGGAGGACATCAGCTGACCAGTGAGGAACCTATGGGAGCTCATGGTGCTTTTTCTGTCACTGGGAATCACATTAAACTCCATCTTAGTAGGAACCAACACCTTGAGGGTTCTAACCTTTAACCAGTGGTGAAAGAACTGGAAGAGACATGAAGAAGTGGATTTTGCATAATAGGTGATCTTTAAAGAGCATTTTAAAAAGTGTGCTATTGCGTCTTTCACTTAAAGTGGACCTATCATGCTATATTTGAATAATATAGTGTAGGACCATACCTATATAAGGCATATTTATACTTTTTTTTTTTTCAAAATACCAAACAGATCATGCATTTTAGCCATGCCTCATTTTGCTCAATTTGACATTTTCTAGCTCTGTTTTAGCAAGGGCTGATTCAGTGAGAACAGCACCACCTACAGGCCTGGCATATGTACTACAGCGTCTCCAGCGCTTTCGAACGGCAATGGCCGTGGCTGTCTCCTCGTGATTGGTGGAGTTGGCCCAATAGCCGTAGCGCCACCGTCCTGACGTCAGGACAGTGTTCAAATCTGGATCAGTTTTTATCAGATCCGTTGCAGCCCCTTTTTTAGAGATTTGGGTATGGAGGAAAATAGAGAGGGTTGTGTTTTCTGACACTTGGTGAGTTCCCTGGAACACCGGGGACACATATTCATGTATAAAAGACGTACAAAAGTGCATTTTGCATGATAGGTCCCCTTTAAGTCAAAGTGGGACCTCGCCCCCGTGTGTCACCCAGCAGCCAATCAGCAGTGAGCGACCGTGTGTTCTTGCCTGTCATTGACTGTGAGCTGTAGCCTCCGCAGCTCGGGGGAGGAGATGACCCCGCAGCGTTTATACTGACCGTCCCCGAGAGAGCGAGACACCTCGAGGACCCCCAGCACCCTGCCGTCCCTGCAACACACACACACACACACACACACACACACACACACACACACACACACACACACACACACACACACACACACACACACACACACACACACACACACACACACACACACACACACACACACACACACACACACACACACACACACACACACACACACACACACACACACACACACACACACACACACACACACACACACACACACACAATCAAATACATATGTGAACATAGCCAATAACAAATACATGTAACTTATTTTATTTTTGTTCATTCATATCTTATTTGACCTAGTTAACATTTATTTATGTATATTTTTAAATCTCTCCAGTTTGAAGGATATGTCTGGTTTACTGTCCTATAGTATACACTGGAATGATTTCAAACCTGTTTTTATTCATCCTAATAATTATAAAGGTGTGCCTTGGAAATATTTGTTTACATAAATTGTGATCAAACCGTTTGAGACCCACTGAGATAACTTAGACTAAAGTGAACTATCTGACCCTCAGAGTCCTTTACCTCACTGAGCCTCTCAGTCTGTCTCTCCCTCTACCTTCTTGTAGAAACATCTTCTTATATCCGTTAGCGCAGCAGAAGCTAACAACAATCCCCGCCGGACCGGTACCGGTGCGCCCTCTCTCTCTCTCTCTCTCTCGCTCGCTCCAACGCTCACTCGCACTTTGGCGCCTGATAAGCCAACATCCCCCACTTTCATCACTTACAGCGCCCATCGTACAGGGCAAATGGAAAATGTGTGGGAAAAGGGTGTTACCTTTACTTAATTATGAATGTTGTTACATCAAGGCTGAACATTCGTTTTTTTTGTATTATATTTGTATTATATTTCCATTTAATCTTGTGGACGTGCAGATTTCCTGTCGTCCATCAGGGGGTGCTGCAGCACTATCAGCACCCCTACTTCCCACGGCCATGGTTACAGTGGGTGTATTTTGTAAATTGTGTACTTCTCTTAATTTTTTTATTTTTAATATATATATATATATATATTTTGTATGCATGCTTCTTCGTTAACATTGAGCTGTCTTCGGCTCTTTTCTGCTGTAACAATGTAAATGTCCCCTCTGTGGGACGAATGGAGGTATTCTGATTCTGAAATGTGATTTTTTTCATTTCTCCATTTAATATCTCAGTAAACTGTAAATGTTTATTGGATTGTCGGTAAAGGCCCTGACACACCAGGCAGTCACCAGAGAACTCTCCGACACCGACGCCGACTGTCGCCGTGTTCTCCTGCGTCTTGGCCATGTGTCGCACTGGAACACACCGCAAAGACTTCAGCCGAGCACGTACGAACTGCGCATGCGTGAGTGGCAATAACTCTCCTTACCAGCAGGCGGCGGGTAGTGTGTATTCATCATTCAAAAGAGGCAACAACCGGAAGACAGAGAAGAAGAACAGACTGCGTGATCTAAACAAACAACAAATAGCGTGTGCGTTCCATTTTCACTCTCGTCCATCGAAAACATGTTTGGTGCGGTACTGGAGCTATCAGCCATTGGAGTGTTGCTTGTGGAAGACATTCTCAAGCAACCGTTTAGCTTCTCATGCACTGATTCGCTAGCTGAACAGCCAATCAGAGTGATTCCTTTGTCCGACTGCCTGTGGCCGACGCACGGCCGATTCAACATGTTGAATCGGCCGTGCGTCGGCCATGAAAGGCCAAATAAGGCGTGTCACGGCCGACGGTGCGGGACACACCAAATTGAGTTTGGGCGACAGGGCACGCTTCATCGTCCGACTAACGAAAACGGCCTGGTGTGTCAGGGCCTTCAGACACAAGGCATGGCAGAAAGGTTGCTGTCTAGCTGTGTGAAAGTTGCTTCTTTAATTGTAAGTGTTCAATTCAGTTTTAAATGTGTGATCTCTGTCGGACCTGACGGTGCCCCCCGCTCTCTGGATCCTCATCCTCTCCTCGTAGATGGTCGGGTTGTGTTCTTTACTCAGAGACAGAGTCACACACTTCCTCTGATCCTCTGCAGACTCCATGCGACACAACACCGCCTGCACGAACACACACACACACACACTGATATAAAACCATGAACATCGATAACAGCTTTTACATTACGCACAAATCTATAACTCCAGTTTCTGAAATGTGAATATTTGCAGGTCTACTCGTGTCGGTGTTGAACAGAAGACGTCTGTAGTAGAGATGCAACGATCCAATCACTCTCAAATATCCAATATGCTGCCGGTCAAATTCACATTCCCCAAATGACGCCACGTTCAGTAACTGATCATTGTAAGTTCATTGTAATTAAGCATCTTTGAGCATTAGCAAAAGCGCTGTAAAAATCCAATGTATCATTATTATGAAATTATTACACGTGTCTTGACGGTAAAACCCTCAATTGAAGATCCAGTCCCGGTTTGCGTTGTGTCTCGTCAAAAATGTTAGTCTAGTCATGTTTCATGTTTTGTTAAGTCAGTCTTGTCGTGTCTTCCTCTCTTGTCTTCCTCTCCTGTCTTCCTCTCTTGTCTTCCTCTCCTGTCTTCTCAGAGTGTGTGCTGGTGAAGTCTCAGTTACCCGACTGTCTCCCAGGTTGGCCACGTACACCGTGTCGTCCACCAGGAGGACGCAGGTCGCCGTGGAGCCGTCCTTCCACGCCGGCTTCCTGTCGGAGAAGAGAACACGAGAGAAGAGAGGAGAAGACAAGACAAGTTCTGTAGTTTAACAGCAACAGAGTAAGAATGAAAAGCAGGACAGATTCACACAGATTAGAAATTAATAAACTCAAAGTTAAAATCCAAGATACAAATAAAATGATAAACAGTTAAGTAACTTTAAAATAAGAAATGAATAAAAATGAACATATATATATATATATGTGTGAAAACAGTGTGTTTTTTATATCCAGTATTTGTGGCACATGAGAATCACAGGGGTGTGTGTGTGTGTGTGTGTGTGTGTGTGTGTGTGTGTGTGTGTGTGTGTGTATGTGTGTATGTGTGTGTGTATGTGTGTGCGTGCATGCGTGCGTGTGTGTGTGTAGAAACTGAATTTCCCCCTAGGATATAAGGTTAATATTTTATTTAGTTATTTCTCGTTAATGTAAAACGTTAATCTTTAAATGTACCGATGTTTCCTCTAAATACCCCCTGATGTATTCATAGACTTATTCGTGATGGAGATCTGAACTAAGTCTCTGAAATGATAAGGTAAGTTGTTTCAAAGTGTATTTTCCTGTGAACTCACTGACTGGAAGCTTTCTTCAGGAAATCTTCGTCCGTCTGCCGGAAAGTGTCCAGGAGACATTTCTTTATCAGCCGGTCCACGTTCTCCGTTTCTCCTGGAAGAGAACATAGAACCATGAAGGAGGAGGTGTGGGAGGAAGTGACTCGTGTCTATGTATAAAAGACATGAAGAAGTGGATTGAGCATAGCAGGTGACCTTTAGGACTCACCGCTGGGGAAGTTCTTGGCCAGGTTGTGGTGGAGATTCTCCGCAGCGAAGCGAGAGGCTCGAGCTCCTCCGTGACCGTCAAACACGGCGAAGTACGAAACTCGAGACCTGCAGGACACAGGGGGGGGGGGGGGGGGGGCATTGATGCAGGAATGAGTCCTCACACACAGATATGAGTCAGCATTTCATCACTTCCTGTCCCCTGGTCTGCAGGTCAATGGTTTTCTGAATGTGTTTTTGTTTGTTATCCTGAAATCAGGTCTGTGGTTAACACAAGCTGAAGAAATGTTAACGATTTGTTCTATGACATAAAATACGTCAGTAAATACCCCAATGGTGAATACAAAAACTGAGGTTGCTAACAAGTGTCTAAATGAGACGACTAAATGTCATCACGCCCAACATTAGCCACCTTTAGCTTAGCAGTGGTGACGTGAAGTCATGTGACCGTGCTGTAGTTCCTTTATAGCCCAACATTAGCCACCTTTAGCTTAGCGGTGGTGACGTGAAGTCATGTGACCGTGCTGTAGTTCCTTTATAGCCCAACGTTAGCCACCTTTAGCTTAGCGGTGGTGACGTGAAGTCATGTGACCGTGCTGTAGTTCCTTTATAGCCCAACATTAGCCTCCTTTAGCTTAGCGGTGGTGACGTGAAGTCATGTGACCGTGCTGTAGTTCCTTTATAGCCCAACGTTAGCCACCTTTAGCTTAGCGGTGGTGACGTGAAGTCATGTGACCGTGCTGTAGTTCCTTTATAGCCCAACATTAGCCACCTTAGCTTAGCGGTGGTGACGTGAAGTCATGTGACCGTGCTGTAGTTCCTTTATAGCCCAACGTTAGCCACCTTTAGCTTAGCGGTGGTGACGTGAAGTCATGTGACCGTGCTGTAGTTCCTTTATAGCCCAACATTAGCCACCTTTAGCTTAGCGGTGGTGACGTGAAGTCATGTGACCGTGCTGTAGTTCCTTTATAGCCCAACATTAGCCACCTTTAGCTTAGCGGTGGTGACGTGAAGTCATGTGACCGTGCTGTAGTTCCTTTATAGCCCAACGTTAGCCACCTTTAGCTTAGCGGTGGTGACGTGAAGTCATGTGACCGTGCTGTAGTTCCTTTATAGCCCAACATTAGCCACCTTTAGCTTAGCGGTGGTGACGTGAAGTCATGTGACCGTGCTGTAGTTCCTTTATAGCCCAACGTTAGCCACCTTTAGCTTAGCGGTGGTGACGTGAAGTCATGTGACCGTGCTGTAGTTCCTTTATAGCCCAACGTTAGCCACCTTTAGCTTAGCGGTGGTGACGTGAAGTCATGTGACCGTGCTGTAGTTCCTTTATAGCCCAACATTAGCCACCTTTAGCTTAGCGGTGGTGACGTGAAGTCATGTGACCGTGCTGTAGTTCCTTTATAGCCCAACGTTAGCCACCTTTAGCTTAGCGGTGGTGACGTGAAGTCATGTGACCGTGCTGTAGTTCCTTTATAGCCCAACATTAGTCACCTTTAGCTTAGCGGTGGTGACGTGAAGTCATGTGACCGTGCTGTAGTTCCTTTATAGCCCAACATTAGCCACCTTTAGCTTAGCGGTGGTGACGTGAAGTCATGTGACCGTGCTGTAGTTCCTTTATAGCCCAACGTTAGCCACCTTTAGCTTAGCGGTGGTGACGTGAAGTCATGTGACCGTGCTGTAGTTCCTTTATAGCCCAACATTAGCCACCTTTAGCTTAGCGGTGGTGACGTGAAGTCATGTGACCGTGCTGTAGTTCCTTTATAGCCCAACGTTAGCCACCTTTAGCTTAGCGGTGGTGACGTGAAGTCATGTGACCGTGCTGTAGTTCCTTTATAGCCCAACATTAGCCACCTTTAGCTTAGCGGTGGTGACGTGAAGTCATGTGACCGTGCTGTAGTTCCTTTATAGCCCAACGTTAGCCACCTTTAGCTTAGTGGTGGTGACGTGAAGTCATGTGACCGTGCTGTAGTTCCTTTATAGCCCAACATTAGCCACCTTTAGCTTAGCGGTGGTGACGTGAAGTCATGTGACCGTGCTGTAGTTCCTTTATAGGAACGCAGCAAATCTGGATCAGCTCCGTTGTTCCCCCGTTTTTAGAGATTTGGGTACGGAGGAAAAGAGAGAGGATTTTATTTCCTGACACGTTGTGAGGCTCCTGACACACCGGGGACACATAATGATGTAGAAAAGACATCAACAAGTGGATTTTGCATGATAGGAGACCTTTAAGTAGAGTAAGGCAGTATCTGTACTCCTCTACTTCCCCCTCTGGATGACTTACAGGTGTCCTGGCAGACAGCTGCTCATGTCCGGCAGCAGCAGGTGAGCGTCCTGCATCTCGTCTCGTTCTCCTCGCCGCGACGCCACATATCCTCTCAGCACGGGGAGGCCTGGACCAACACACACCTCAGACAATTATTGATTGATAGATGGATAGATGGATAGATGGATAGAGAGAGAGAGGGATGGATGGATAGATAGAGAGAGAGAGGGATGGATAGATAGATAGATGGAGAGAGAGAGAGGGATAGATAGATAGATAGATGGATAGATAGATAGATAGAGAGAGAGAGAGAGAGAGAGAGAGAGAGAGATAGATAGATAGATAGATAGATAGATAGATAGATAGATAGATAGATAGATAGATAGATAGATAGATAGATAGATAGATAGATAGATAGATAGATAGATAGAGAGAGAGAGGGATGGATAGATAGATAGATGGAGAGAGAGAGAGGGATAGATAGATAGATAGATGGATAGAGAGAGAGATAGATGGATAGATAGATAGATAGATAGATAGATAGATAGATAGATAGATAGATAGATAGATAGATAGATAGATAGATAGATAGATAGATAGATAGATAGATAGATAGAGAGAGGGATGGATAGATAGAGATAGATAGATAGATGGATAGATAGATAGATATAGATGGATAGATAGAGAGAGAGAGAGGGATGGATAGATAGATAGATAGATAGATAGATAGATAGATAGATAGATAGATAGATAGATAGATAGATAGATAGATAGATAGATAGATAGATAGATAGATGGATAGATAGATAGATGTGGGCGGGTGGGTAGATGAAATGTACATTAGAGTGGGAAACACACAGAAAAACATTGTGGTGGAAGAAACCTTCTTTAAAAACTTTCTTGACCTCCTCCCTTATCGCGTCGTTCTCATCGGCCGCACATCGTTTCCTTTTTAATCGTTTCTCCACTTCTTCTTCTCCTTCTTCTTCTTCTTCTTCTGTGGTATGCTGTGTTCGAGCTGTGACTGAAACTGAAGAAGAATCAAATACAAAAGGTCAGAAGAAGAGTTTGAGCCGTAGGACATAACTATCCATATCTCACACTGACACTTTGATTCTCTTGCAGGTCGTCTCATGTGTTTCCGCTCGGCTGATTAAAGGGTGATTCTAATGTGACTTTAGATTTCTGGTTTCATGTGACTCTAAGTCAGGGGGGTCAAACTCAAATACACAGTGGGCCAACATTAAAAAATGGGTACTAGTCGAGGGCCGGACTGGTTCAATGTTTCTTGCAGAACTTATTGAAATGAACTTATTCCACATATTAAACTTGGAACCAACAAAGCTTAAATGATTGCCAATAAAAACAACATTAAATAATCAGTTGCATTCATTTCTTAGGATTACATTTTTTCACAGGCCAACAACAGCTTGATGTTTGACACATGTACTCTAAGTGTTTGTGAGCAGCTGTGACGGAGAGACCATCACTTTCTCTCCCTGCTGCTTTCCACCATGGGCTATACAAACTGCAAAGTGTGCATGCTTTGTTTTATAATACATGCCATGAGTGGAATAAACCAATACATCAAATAAATACACACTTTACATTTGAGTTAAGGTTGCTCTGCAGATCTCCCCCAGGTTTCCTTCATCAACTCTTCTTCACTAATGTTGTTATTAAAACCTAAACTTTCAGTTCATCAGAACTCACCGGTCTGTGTCGGTTCTGGAAGGTCGTCGAAAAGATCCATTCAACCAGAGAAGTACTCAGATCCTGAAGGAGAAGTACAAGTACACAGATCCTGAAGGAGAAGTACAAGTACACAGATCCTGAAGAAGAAGTACAAGTACTCAGATCCTGAAGGAGAAGTATAAGTACTCAGATGTTGTACTTAGTAAAAGTACTCAGATCTTGTACTTGAGTAAAAGTAGAAGTACTCAGATGTTGTACTTAGTAAAAGTACTCAGATCTTGTACTTAGTAAAAGTAGAAGTACTCAGATCTTGTACTTAGTAAAAGTAGAAGTACTCAGATCTTGTACTTAGTAAAAGTAGAAGTACTCAGATCTTGTACTTAGTAAAAGTAGAAGTACTCAGATCTTGTACTTAGTAAAAGTAGAAGTACTCAGATCTTGTACTTGAGTAAATTAGAAGTATTCAGATATTATACTTGAGTAAAAGTAGAAGTACTCAGATCTTGTTCTTGAGTAAAAGTAGAAGTACTCAGATCTTGTACTTGAGTAAAAGTAGAAGTACTCAGATGTTGTACTTGAGTAAAAGTAGAAGTACTCAGATCTTGTACTTGAGTAAAAGTAGAAGTACTCAGATCGTGTACTTGAGTAAAAGTAGAAGTACTCAGATCGTGTACTTGAGTAAAAGTAGAAGTACTCAGATCTTGTACTTGAGTAAAAGTAGAAGTACCAGAGTGTAGGAATACTCTGTTACAGTAAAAGTCCTGCATTCAAAATGTTCCTCAAGTGAAAGTAGAAAAGTATTCTCATCAAAATATAGTGAAAGTAGCGACAGTAAAAGTAGTGATTGTGCAGATTGGTCCATTTCAGAATAATATATATGATATGTTTTATAATGATTGATCATGAAAGTGTTCTCAAAGCTGGTAAAGGTGCAGCTAGTTTGAATGACTTTGTATACTGCAGGGTAGCTTGTGGATTTACTCCAGGTGGAACTAAAGTCTGATTTAACACTTGGTTAGATTTCACATCATTCATCCACATCTGTGAAGTAACTAAATAAATGTAGTATAATAGTTACCTCTGGATTGTTAGCTTAGCATCCGTTAGCTTCCTGTATACTATTCCTGTAATATATGATAATATAACAGAGTCGGTTAGTGTGAATAGTTTCATTAACGGATTAAATGACCCCTAAAGTCCGCTGTTTAACGTGTTATTTCATTTAAAACGCAGAAACGTTGATCGTGGTTCCAGTTTAGCTCCAGCTGCTAGCACCGAGTTAGCATCAACTGTCAACAAGGCGGTTTCCGGTCTGAACTTTCAAAATAAGAGCCCGCATTTCAGAACAAGTCGGATGGACCTCTGACAGAAACGTTGTCCCGTTGTGAAGCAGAAGTTTTCCTCCTCGTTAAACTCTTGCTAAGTGACAGTTTTCAGAGTGAAATGACTCTCAGCTGATCTCTGCTCTCACCTCAGACTCATCTCTCTCATGTGTTTATTGCTAACAGTTATTTATATTATTGATGATAACAGTTGCAGCTGCTCTAACAGCATGCTAACAGTTTAAGATGTTATTAGCGAGACAGTTAGACACCAACAGCTGCTTTAACAGCATGCTAACAACATGCTAACAGTTATAAATCACCCAAATGCAGTTAAACACAGAAACATGAGGGTGCATTAACACATTTTCTAACCGAAGAAAAACTCTTTCAGATGCTTTTTTAAGATTTTGGGATAAATATAACAGTAGTTTTGTTGCATGAACAGGGAGACATTAGTAAAAAGGCCTTTAATGAAAAAAGTGTTTGGAGCCGGTTTTAAGAATAGAATTTAAAGCAGACGCCATCTTTTGAAGTGGTTACTAATCGGATATCGAGGAATTTCACTAGTATAAGAATCTACTACTAACTTTCTGGTAATGTGACCTCCTTAATCGAATGTTTCTTTTAAATACACAGTTACTCGTGTACATATATTAATTCCATCCAAAGTTTAGGAGAAAGCAGGGAGTTAAATTCTGTAAAACGCTTTGAAAAGCTTATATTGTCTCACCAGTCTAAATAACATGAGAGACTCAAATCTGAGCAGCCCCCACCCCCCGATTACTAAAACTAATCGATAGCTAGGGTCAGGGCCGTCCCTCCCTACAGGCCGATCATGCAGACTGCGTGGGGCCTCATCTTGCGGAGGGGGCCTCACCTTGCGGAGGGGGCCTCACCTTGCGGAGGGGGCCTCATCTTGCGGAGGGGGCCTCACCTTGCGGAGGGGGCCTCACCTTGCGGAGGGGGCCTCATCTTGCGGAGGGTGCCTCAACTGAGCCAAAAATCCGCATAAGCGCAATTAGTGTGGTGCGGCACGGTTTCGCCGCTACGAGGCTCCACGAGCACCACCCCCCCGTCCCCCGTCGACGCTCGCGAAACAGAGGGCCTCATCATATAACTTTGCGTGGAGCCTCATGTTGGCCAGGGACAGCCCTGGCTAGGGTCCTAATCTTGTTGTTTCAATGATCCCTCTCCTATATTTATAAATATATCTACATATAATGTTCTCCTTTTGAATCTCTGCAGGAAAGATGGCGACTCCTAAAAAGATCCTCGTCAGCACATTAGAATATTTGGGGAAAGAGGACTTTAAAGAGTTCAAGTGGTGTCTGCAGGAGGAGGTCCTAGGATTCCAAGGAATCCCAAAGAGTCGGCTGGAGGATGCAGACCGGATGGACACAGTGGATCAGATGTTTCTGAACTACTGCATAAATACGTTCAAAGTGACCATAATGGTTTTGGGGGAGATAAAGCAAAATGATCTTAAGGAGAAATTATCAAAACACCCTTCAGAACCTACAGGTAGGTCATTAAAAAGACGTTACAAAGATGGGACTTTTTTTATAACCCTGCATCATGTTTTTTGACTGTGGTCAGGTAAATCAGAATGATAACAGAATGTGCCCCCTCCTGATATACCCCTCAGACAATTACCATCTGTACATGGTGTGTTTAGATGAAAGCTGTGTGGTCAGGGTCAACTGTTACTGACAGGGTCACCCAGGGCTATTTGTTCCAGGTGAGGGTAGTAAAACCTTTAGAGGAGAGCCAGTTAGGAAGAAAGCTACCACCGCTGTATTAGGGACACCGGGGCTTCATCCTTTAACCAGGCACAAACTGGATCATCTAAGGGTCCATCAATGCCAGTTGGGTCTTGGTGAAGGAGAGGAACATGGCATGCTCACTCCAGGCTAGACAAACCACACATTTTAGGCTCAGCTCTACAACAGCTCTTGAAAGAAACAATCGGATAGAGATTTGACTCTCTCTTCTTTCCTGTCCTTGCCCCGGTCACCTTTGAGGTTCATTGAGATGAAAGCCGTCACTTTAGTCTCTGCTGATGCAAAGACCAAGAGTTCATTGTGCGGGTTGTTGCCATTGAGTCAGGGGCCTCCTCTGTACAACCTGCTGTGAGTGAAGATAGTGATAAACTGTTGGGAAAACACTGAATGTCCTCTACCAATATCAGAGTAACATGAAAACAAAGGTATCAAAATAACAAAATAAAAACAAACTTGAAAACAATATATATGAAAATTTAAATTAAAAAAGTTGAACAAAAAATATTTCTTATAATTTCAAAATACAGAATGAAAAACTGAACTTAAAGTTTGTATGTGTTTATATCCTTTATCATCTTTGAGAGTTATGCTTTGAGAGAGAGATTGTGCGTCGGTGAGAGGGGGCTTAGAATAGCTAAGTATCAATACAAATGAATTCAAAAATCAATCAAAATATACTTCAATTCTTCTCCTCTACAGTTCAGAGGTACATGGTGTACTTTTACTCCACTACATGTACTTAATACCTTTAGTTACTTCACAGATGTGGATGAATGATGTGAAATATAATCAAGTGTTAAATCAGACTGTAGTTCCACCTGGAGTAAATCCACAAGCTACCCTGCAGTATACAAAGTCATTCAAACTAGCTGCACCTTTACCAGCTTTGAGAACACTTTCATGATCAATCATTATAAAACATATCATATATATTATTCTGAAATGGACCAATCTGCACAATGACTACTTTTACTGTCGCTACTTTCACTATATTTTGATGAGAATACTTTTCTACTTTCACTTGAGGAACATTTTGAATGCAGGACTTTTACTGTAACAGAGTATTCCTACACTCTGGTACTTCTACTTTTACTCAAGAACAAGATCTGAGTACTTCTACTTTTACTCAAGAACACGATCTGAGTACTTCTACTTTTACTCAAGTACAAGATCTGAGTACTTCTACTTTTACTAAAGTACAAGATCTGAGTACTTCTACTTTTACTCAAGTACAAGATCTGAGTACTTCTACTTTTACTCAAGAACTAGATCTGAGTACTTCTACTTTTACTCAAGTACAAGATCTGAGTACTTCTACTTTTACTCAAGTACAACATCTGAGTACTTCTACTTTTACTCAAGTACAAGATCTGAGTACTTCTACTTTTACTCAAGAACTAGATCTGAGTACTTCTACTTTTACTCAAGTACAAGATCTGAGTACTTCTACTTTTACTCAAGTACAAGATCTGAGTAGGGGAGAGTGGGGTAAGTTGAGCCATTTTTTAGTTATGCTGTCCTCTAAGCAAGGAGAAATGACACATAGTAAAAATGAAAACCCACACCTATAATTCTGGATGTCTCCTATCAATGGCAATGATAAGAATTAATATTTGATCAAGGGCAGTGAAAATATTACTTCTAAAAAAAAAGTGGTCTTGTGGCTCAACTTGCCCCGGGTTAGGGGTAGGTTGATCCAGGTCAGGAGGTAAATTGAACCACTGTTCAAACTTGGGCATACCTGTTCAAACCTGGGCATACCTACAACAAATCTTAAAGGTAACTTTAAACAATAAATAACAAACCAAATACAAGTTTAGTTTTTCAAATATTTTTAATATAAATTTCGATTGAATTGATTGATTTTTTTTAACATGTTAATAAAAGGAAAAGTAATCATACAAATGGTGATATAATTTCATACATCTTACCAATCAAACACAGGTAAATTCAACTTTAAATGTAGCCTACAATGAGCTCTTATTATCAACTTGGCCTACTTTCATTAATTTCTCCATTGAAAAACTGGCTCAACTTACCCCAACGCCCATGGTGCACTTTACCCCATAGCCACCATTTTAGAAAAAATAGGATTAAAATTCAGAGTCATCTTTAGCTTAATGACTCACATGGTTTAATACGCTGCCAACACATCAACATATACAATATATGTGTTTAAACCTGGATACATTTTTTTTGACATGACAGCCGATATAGCTGATATCTAGAAAATGTACTTTGACAAGCAAAAAACGTTTTTTTTGTAAAAATGTTTACTTACCAGACCACAATGAGCATCTCTCTTTCACAGGCAATGAGAAATGGGAGGAGCTTGCATAATTTCTGGTCACGTGATTACAACTATAAGGCGTTGCCTGGTTACAGGGGGTGGTTCAATTTACCCACTGGCTCATCTCACCCCACTCTCCCCTACTTCTACCTTTACTCTAGTTCGTACAATATCTGAGTACTTCTACTTTTACTAAGTACAAGATCTGAGTACTTCTACTCAAGTTCAATATCTGAGTACTTGTACTTTTACTCAAGTAGAAGATCTGAGTACTTTTACTCAAGTTAGTACAAGCAATACGATCTCAAGTTCTCAACCCAAAAAGTACATACATAATAACTTGATTAAATTGGTTCATAGCCAGGCTGTCAGCCAATAGGAGCAGAGAGACTGCTGTCCCGTGCTCCTATTGGCTGACAGTAGAATAAAGCCTGAAGCCGGACCCTTAATGAGCCGACCCTCACCCTCCTCTGAACCCACCATGTGTTGACCACAGCTGTAATTGAAGGGCTGAATCATCACAGGCTGTCTGACCCGCTCTGTGACCATGTTTCTGTCTCTGTGCTTCCTCTGGATGTTGACTCTTCACACGGCCGCTCAGCATCCTCCATACCGGGGGGAGGGGACCGTGCGGAGCCCCGGGACTCCGGAGGATCCCCGGCCGGAGGAGGCGAGGGGATCCCGGGGGAAACTCTGCCGAGAGACGGCCCCTCCGACCGGGTGAGCAGAAACACTTATCATCAGAGGTGGGAAGTAGAGGAGTACAAATACTTCGTTACTGTACTTAAGTACATTTTTCTGGTATCAGTACTTTACTCCACTACTTATTTTCTGACGACTTTTTACTTTCTACTTCTTACATGTTGAACACAAATACCTGTACTTTCTACTTCTTACATGTTGAACAC